GGAGAGAGTTCACAAAGTATTCAGGAGTAAATCTAACATTGCAGAAGAAATACTGCTGAAAAATATTTTTGTCATTTTGGACACATCTGTAAACTACAGCTTTGTTATAAGAAAACACTTATAATTGTTGCTGTAATTATTCAGCTGTGCATAAAACTTGTGGAAATGAATGTTTTTGAATAAAGTGGTGTGTCAAATCTGAGCAAAATAAGATGACAGCTTGACTAAAAGTAGAACTGGCTAAAGCCTATTTTTAAAGATTTGAATGCATGTGTGTATGCATATGTACCTGTATAAGGGTGTGCACACACATGTGGGGTGTGTGCACTGTGTTCACAATCATTCTGCCTACTTCTTCAAGGCAGAGCCTCATCCCTGAACCTGGGGCTGTTTCCTCTGTTGGGCTGGAAGACCACAAGCCCCAGTGGCTCTTCTTGCTGGGTCACCTGGCTTGTTAGGTGGGCACTGGAAACTGACATCTATCCTTGTGAGTTTGAGCAAATGCTTTTAACCTGAGCCATCTCTCTAGCCTCATGGTGTGTGTGTGTGTGTGTGTGTGTATGTGTGTGTGTGTGTGTGTCTGTCCGTCTATGTTTGCATGCGTGTGTGCACCCCTGCCCATGACAGTTCATGTGAGGGGAGGATGCTCAGTACCTTTCTCATCACTCTACCTTATTCCACTGAGACAAGGTCTCTCATTGGACTGGACTCTCACTTCCGGGGCTAGGCGGCAAGCTGTCAATATCCACTCATCTCATCTCTGCAAGCTGTCAATATCCACTCATCTCCGCCCCCCAATACTGGGGTTACAAATATGCCTGTGCATCCAGCTTTTTTGTGTGTGATGTGGATTTGAACTCAGGTCCTCCTACTCAAACAGCACACGTTCTCTCTTATCCAGAGCTACCTCCGCAGCCCCTACTTTTAATGTTTCCTTGAGAAACTTAATTCTGTGGTATAGATGTAGGTATGCATGATTGATTGAGTTAGGGGTCAGTATGCAGCCACCTGTGAGCTGGAGGTGGGAAAAGGCTTACTCTAGAACATAGATTCTCAACCTGTGGGTCATGACCCCATTGGAGGTTGAATAACCCTCTCACGAGGGTCACTTAAGACCATTGGGAAAAAAACATACTTACATTACAATTCATAACAATAGCAAAATTACAGTTATAAAGTAGCAAAAAAATAGTTTTATGGCTGGGGGTCACCACAACATTAGGAACTGTATTAAAGGATCACAGCATGAGGAAGATTGAGAACCAATGGTCTAGAAGATAACAAGGTTTATTGAGCAGTTATTCTAAAGCTACAGAATTCAAGGCAGTTTAAGAAATATCAGCAGATCAATAAGGCAGAATAGAGCCCAGAGACAAACATGAAGCTGGTAGTAACATTTTCTGAAATCTCAGAAATAAGTAATTTTCACTGATAAAAGGATACCACCACATTTTCATCTGCATCCTATAAAGATCAAGATCTCAATGTCTTTTTTAATGTGAAAAATTGACAAGCCCATTCTAAAATCTCTATGAAATAGCAAAAGCTCCTTGAGAAGATAGGAAGCCTTTCTTCAGAGATGTGAGATTGGCATGGAATCAGAAACAAGGAACTCCTACTTTCTCCCTAGGAAAAAAGCATCAAAATCATCTGGAATTGGTAAAGATCACATCTCCAGCCCTCGCCACACTTACAAAGCAAGGCATCTCCATGCATAGATGATGCTCTCAGACACCATTGAAATGTCGAGGTGTAGTTCAGAGGTAGAAGGCATGTGCAGCATGTACTGGACTCTGGTTTGGTCTCCAGCTCTGCATTTTAAAAAACGGTATAATGTTCACAATGTATTAATGAAGTCTCTGGACCCAGATTCCAACCAAGAGGATGGAGTCCTTTTCTCTGGCAACTGGCTGTAGAATACACTCTAAGGAAGCCTTCAACTGGTGCTCCAAGCAAGGCCTTAAACATTTTACATAAGCTGTATTTATACTCAAAACCCTTACCACCCAAAGGCTGAGAAAGAAAGGCAGCTCCAAATCTGGGACCTGAGTAAGGCCCACATGGTTGGAACAACCCCAAAGACATGATCTTATAAAAAGCCAACACTGTAGGGAAAAGGGGCCAGTCAAAGAAACACACCCTGAGCAGAGCCAAAGAAACACACTTTGGCCCTGCAACCAGGACAAAAGAAATGTACCCTGACCCTGAAACCAGTGCCAAAATAACACACTTTGTCCCTGGAATCTGAGTCAGTGAAAGAAATGCACCCTGGCCCTAAAATTGGAGCCAAAAGGCTAAAAAGGACCAGAGAAAGAAACACACTTTGGCCCTGAAACCAGAGCCAAATCTGACCTTAATCCTGTGCAGAAAACTAACCAATCCTCGAGCAGAGCTCTAGCCAATCTGAGCTCAGTACTGAAATCGGACCAATCCTTACCCTGGAAAAACTTTCCCGCCCCCAAGAATCCCTATATAAACCCTGTATATGTTCAGCTTGGCTGGTCCAGCCGCTTCCTTCCAATAAACCCCCTCGGATGAGCTTTGGGTGAAGATCTTCTTTTGTGGTGTCGACCCTGGGCAGAGCAGAGCGAGCAGGGCTGGGCTGTAACACTTCCCCAGGAAACCTTCCCTTAGCAGAGCGGAGTACTCTCTGCTCTCCACTCTCAGGAGCAGAGCTGAACTGTAGCAACTTCAAGAAACCTCCTGCTGAGCAAAACTGCTACACTAGGCGAACATCCCCAGATGGAAGACCCTGTCCTACAGGAGCAGAGCCGATACACTAGGGAAGCCTTTCTCTGAGTCAAGGCTGTAAGCAGATAAGCTTACTGCAACCTGTGGTGGTCCTTGGCTCCCGAGCTCCAGGATACCTTTCCACCTGAGCTGCGTAACACTCAGTATTCTGTGACTCCCGAGTGCCAGAATACCTGACCCACTCCTGTTCCATCCTGATCTGCCCGAAACGCTTACAAACACCAACTGTGACTTACTGATGTGAGATGAAGCAAGACAATTTTGTAAGCTCACCTAAGCACAGAAAAATGGAAACCATGGGACACTAAGTGTCCCAGCTACTATGAGGGACTGTAGCTCCTTCACAAAGTGTGGCTTTAGCCAAGCTCTATTACACAGGCACTATACAAGATTTTCTCACAGACTGTACACAACAGTGTTCCCACAAATTGTAGTGCTCAGTGAGAATAAGTATACTTTCTTGGACCAGGCCTCTATTGTTTTGAAATAAGGTTTCACTATGTAGCCTAACTGGCCTACTACTACCTGATCCCCACCTTCAGACAGGAGCTCCTGCATCTTTGAACCCTAAACCAAACACCAAATCCTAACACCTCCTTGCTGAGATACCAGCCAATTCTATGTTGTCTTCCCTGACAACATTTTTGCTTTATAGAGTGATCTTGTACTCAAGGATGTGCCAAGATTTGTTCTAAGTGGTATTGCTACATGACATTTTAACAAAGGCTTGTTAGAATCTGCAAATAGCCTGCAGACAAATACAGAAGAAAAAACACTTTCAATTCATGTCTAAGACAATGCCTTGCAGTTACTGGAACTCATCAAGACAGGGTAAACAAAATAAGCAAGCTCTCAAATCAACATCTACCACTTCATGTCTATAGTTTCTTTATCCTCGTTTGGCAACTTGAACTTGCTGGAGAGCAGATACTTGCTATAAGCAAAACCCACAGTTAAGCTATTATTTGTCTTATAATTGAAGTTTTCACCAAGGCAGACTGTATGTGCATAGCTTACCATTTGCACTGTCACTGTTTGGTAGTAGGGGTGGGGGTGGGGGTACACAGGTCTTCCTATGTAGTCCATGCTGACATGGATGGACTTCTATCTTTCTCAGCCTCTCGAGTGCTATGACTATAGGCATGCACCACAGACTTACCATCATACATTTGTTATAAAACTACCACAGTTCCAAAGGACTTTGCTTGCTCTCCTCAGCTGCCAGTACTGTAACTTCTATCAATGCTGATTATAGGAAAAGAGGGAAAACTGTGTAAGCATGGAAAAACGACTCAGAAAGAGTGGGAGGAAGGACTGGAACTGGACAGGGCTGAGATCCTGAATAATCTCAACAGTAGAATTTACAATGGACTCACTAATTTCCAATTTTATGGTACACTACATCTTCCCCTCCAAAATTAACTACAGAGATAACACTGCATTTCTAAAAACACTGGAGGCTAACCCTGTAAGAACAGAATAATGCTATCTCAGAAGTCCCTTGTGTAATCCTTTGTGTTATATTTTGAAGGGTGTAGTGTTACAGGTGTATCTGTCTAAATAACTACTTTAGAGATACTTCTAAGTAATTTTGTAGCTTAGTTGAAGGATACTCCTTCCCCACTTCTGGGAAGAGCATTAAGTCTCCAGAAGAAATGGGAAAATAGTACAGATTATAACACACTTTCCCATTCCTCAGTAACATTTTTGCCATTTGTTTTCCTTCTCCTTTACTCTGATTATTTACACCTCTTTTCCTGCATGACTTTAGTTGCAGATATTGCAACTTGACGTTTCTGTGCATAACTACAAACAAAACAAAACAAAACAAAACAAAGCCTCCAAAAGCCAGTCTCCTACATGCCAATTAATTTTGAACTTGTCTTGCTGTGATTAGATTCAGGTCATTTGGGTGAGTTATGTCTTCCTCACAACAAGGGAGTCCATGGTCTCCTTACTGGTGATTCTAAGTTTGATCATATGGTTAAGGGAGCACCTCACTTCCTTTTCTGACACTGAAACTGCAGACACACACATGCCTGTTTAAGTATACACTAACTTTTCAGGGTAAACCCGGAAGCCCCTCTTAGTGGTGACTTGGAAGGCAAATGAAATAGAGGTACACAAGCTAGAACACAGATATATGTTCACCTAGCTTGAGTTTTGTATGCAAATGACTGCATGAAAACATCTAAGAGAACTATAAATAAACATGTGCTCAAGTGTTCGCCGGGTGAAGTAAACTCAACTTAAAAAAAAAGATTTTAATAGGTAGGTGTGAAATTACAGTAGGTTCCCTGCACGAACCTTTCCACATTTCTATATTCTTGAAAGTTTTCACAAAAAAAAAAAAGTTATGCGTGGTGGAGCGTGCTTTTAATCTCAGCACTTAGGCGGATCTCGTAGTTCGAGGCTAGCCTAGTCTACATGGCGAGTTCCAGAACAGCAGAAAACCCTGTCTCAAAGAAAGAAAAAAAAGGGGGGGGGAGAAAAAGAGATTAGATTTAAAAAGCAGTCCCCACTACATACACAAAGCTGGATTGTGGAGCAGGAAGTGGCTGAGGAGTTAATACAAAGCAATAGCGTCACCCACGCCCTGTTCCCACTCCCAGTCCAGGTCTCTCGGTGCTTGGGGTGGGTGGAGGGGGTCGGGGCGCTGTGCTCTCAGTGTCCCCTCCCTGCCCAGGCCGCCTCCTGCTCGCCCGGCCTCAGTGTTCGCAGCACACTCCATCACCTGGTTCCCAGAACTCAGATTGCGCAGTGGTCACGTCATCATCGGCAGGGCTCAAGCGGGCGGCGTGGGCATCCCTAAGCCTGCCTGCCCCACCCCCACCCAGCCTCACCTCCCCCTCGGTCCCTCACCCTTCAGCTAGCTCCCCGCGCCGGGTCCCCGGGCCCCGTCACCTGCCACGTGTTCATAATCCTCTCAGGCTCCAGACCAGCAGCGCCGGCCACGTGAGGCCTGATCATATAAGGAAAATACCTCGGGCTCACACGGGGCTGGGTCGGAGACCCAGGCGCGACCTGCTCTACCGCTTTCCCCATCTCTCCAGACGCCCCAGCTACCCGCTGCGGAAACCCGCAGACAAGCCCAGGCCTCGGCCATCAGACTGCGCAGGCGCAGGGGCAGCCCATCTCACCGCGTCGCCGCCAGCCCTGCCCCTGGCCCTCGGCCCCGCCCACTTCCCGCCTGTGGCCAGGGGCCGAGGGTGGTTCGGGGCTTGGCGCCAACCCTGTTCTGCAGTGCTCGGCCCTGGGGACAGGCAGAGGGCGGGGTTTTAGAAGTCAGGGATAGGAAAGATGGGTGTGTGGCTGAGGTCTTCTCTGGTTCCCAGGGGAGGGCGCCTGGGCACACGTGGCAAGGATTCGGGTAACCTTGACCCTGGCAGAGCAGGATTTGGGGAGCTGGGGTGGGGAGGAAGGAAAGTAGGGGAAAGGGCAGGGGCGCGGCCTCGCGGGGCGCCTCCCACACGCTTAAAGCTGGGCTAGGGCGGGTGGCCGGGAGAGGTCAACACAGCCCCGCCGAGTAACTGAAGCTTTACCATGGCGCTGCTACGAGGTGAGCCCCGCGCCCTTGGTGATCCCGATCCGGGCTTCGGCTTCTGAGCCCTGCAGGCAGGCCGAGATGGCGGGTGCCGGGGTAGGGGTGGACATGGTTTGCATTGAGGAGGAAACTACTTAGATGACACGGGCGACAGCTGTTTCCGTGCAGTTTCCAGAGGGCAGACTAGAGAGCAGGATTGGCTTTGCTCCTGCCCTTGGAGGTCGCTGGCGTGGTAGTGAATTCTATCTTATTCAACTCTGCAGGAAAACGTAGTTGGTGCCTGAAACACGCGGAGGTCTGGGGCAGAGCAGGTGTGCAATGAAGCGCAGAGGCCTGTCTCAGCCACGGGTGTGTGGGGAAGATAATATTCCCCCAAGAGGCTTCAGGGAACCTCCACTGGGGTGACCTGATCCCTCAAAATAACAGTAGTGGTCTGTTTGAAATTCCACCTTCCTCCTTTTTCTCTTCCTGTAGTGCGAACGACTGCAGACAAGTGCGGGCCCTCGGTACATAACTGCAGGGTTATTGTTTTAAGAAATCTCAAACTCCTTTTTCATAGCAACCTATCACAGGAAACGGAATTTTAACTTAGAGACCCACGTCTGTTGACCATGAGAGGGAAAGAATGCATATCAAATCCTTGAGGCAGGAGAAGACTTCACGTGACATTAAAACCATTTTGGGGATGCAAATGCAAAGTGTACTCTGCAGGAGTTACCGTAAACCCAGGGCAAGGCAAAGCAAGCATTTCAAACCGGGAGGGCACGGTCTGGTGGCTACTCTGTCTTGATTTCCTCTCGGCTCTGGTGCTGCTTTTAAAATAAAGGACTGCAGGCAATAACTTTTTGTGACTCGAGTTTGACAGCAAGGTGGTGATAAATAGACTGTGGTGGGTAACTGTGAAGGAAATGTCAGATGATAAGTTTGGTCCCGTGAAACTTGTTTAGTATGCGCGATACTACCCGGAGGGAAACGGGAAGAAAGACTTGGAACGATTGAGAATTCGTTTTAAATGAAGCTTTTGATAGCTATGAAGTACACAGGGGAGATGTCAGCAGGTACTGGTGAGTGGGATCTGGAAGTCCAAGGAGCCTGAGAGACGTGTGTGTGTGTGTGTGTGTGTGTGTGTGTGTGTGTGTGTGTGTGTGTGTGTTAGAGATTGTGTTAATGTCTTTCTATCTCCCTACTTTCAACTAGGACTCGAATATCCAGAAATGTATGTGATGGCCTGTCATAGGCAGGTTTGGGCATGAGGAGAAAGAACCCAAGCCCGGAGCCTGAAGTAGCGATTGTTGAGGGCTAGTTGGAAGCCGGAGGCTCCGCTCTCAATTTGCATACCGACTACCTGTGAGACTAGTGAGGAAGAAGGCCACAAGACTGAGAGCTGTAAGGAAGACACATTTGTGTGGGAATGTAGTGAGCGTTAGAAATGATCCCCAGCAGTTCTCAACCTTCCTAATGCTGCTACCCTCCAATAAAGTTCCTCATGTTGGGGTGACCTAACCATAAAATTATTTTCTTTGCTACTTCATAACTGTAATTTTGCTACTGTTATGAATTGTAATGTAAATATCTGTGTTTTCTGATGGTCTTAACCAACCCCTGTGAAAGGGTTGTGGGCCAAAGGGGTGGTAACCCAAACCCACGGGTTGAGAAACACTGTTAGCACCCACTCCAGTTTGGCAAGAAATTTCACGTGCCAGTGTTAGTTCTTCTCTCCTTAGCCTTGTTGGGAAGGTTCAGAACCCTTCGGGCAAGCAGGCAGGGCTGCCGACTTACTCTTGAAACAAATGGATGACTAGCAGTTTCCCTGAATTTTCCTTTGTTGTTGTTGGTAGTTGCTCCCCAGAATGACAACTTGTGTAGCAAAGTTCACATGCAAGTCAATACAGTTCTTGTTGTCCCCTGAGCTACTAGCTCCATGTTCTTTGAATTAATGTCTCTTTCCTGTCTTGAGGCCTTTTTGTTTGTTATTGTTGTCTTTTAGAAGTTTTTAGCATCTAAATTCTCAGAGCATAATGAGATTTTAATTTGATATTAAAGATTTTTTTAGACCTTTAATATCCACATACTGGCTTGGTATTGAAATGGCTTATGAAATAACCCTGTAAGGTTTTGTCTTTGTGTCACATCCCACATTATTTTTTAAATAGTTGAACTAATATAGTTAGGCTGATGTTTCCGGTCCAGGATCATTGGGGAAGAGCAATCATACAGGGAAAGGGGAGTTTGTGGGTTTGGTCATATTCCACCATAAACGCTCTTTGTTGATATCACTTATTTCACTACTAATACTTTGCTCGTATTCTTTTGAATTGTGGCAAAAGAGGAAGATTAGCTATGAAAGGGACTTGTGAAGAAACATGAAATTAGCCTCCATTTTTTTCCTGCAAAATCATGTGTGATCATTCTATCTTCCATGTACATAAGGTAGTCCCCCCATGTTTAAAATTACCTTGTTGTGGGGGCTAGAGAGATGGCTCAGTGGTTAAAAGCATGTACTGTTCTTGGAGAGAACCTGAATTTTAGTCCCTGCACCCCCAACACATTTGTAACTCTGGCTCAGCCTACTCCCCCTTTCTGGTTTCCATGGGCACTGCACTCAATAATTAAAATAATAATCTTTTAAAAATCCTTGTTTGGGGATTTCAAAAGTTTCACAGTGGTGGGCCAGGGCGTGGGAGGAAGGTGGATGTGCGCCATCATGCCAGGGTTTAATGTGTTTGTTACAATTGATTAGCTAATATTGACACATTGTTATTTACCAAAGTTCATAATTTACATCAAGGTCCACACTTTGTTCAACTCAGCGCTTTGAGTTTTGACAAATGTATAAATGACATGTATCATCCGCATAATGCAGAGGAAATTTTTTGCCCTAAAAATCCCATGTCCCACGTGTTCACTCCTGTCTCTGAGCCCTTTTCCAAGTGCTCATCTTTGTACTATCTGTAGCTTTGCCTTTTCCAGATATTATAAAGTAAGAACATACAGACTGACTTCATTTCACTTATCAGTGTGTACAAAATATTCCATATTTTATTGTCACAATAAAATTCCATCTTATATATGACACTTTATTACATACCAAAGAGCATCTTAGTTGCTGCCATGTTTTGACAAATAAACATCCATGTGTATAGGCTTTCAAATCACTTGGGGAAATACAAAGGCTCAGAATCTCTAGAGCAGGTGGTTAAGATATGTGTTTGTACGAAATGGGTAAACTGTCTTCCAAAGTGTATTTATCTTCCACTGACAGCAAATGGCTTTCTGTTGTTACACAGCCTACAACTAGTATTTAGTAGTGTCAGTATTTGGGTGTTAGCCATGGGAACCATTGTGTGATTGTAACATTTTAGTTTATATTAATGACCTCTAGTGTTGAGCATCTTTGCATGTGCTTGCTTGCCGTCTGGGTGTTTTCTTTGGTGAACTGTTTGTTCATACCCTTTGCCCATTTTTAAAAATATATTCTCATTACTTCTGTAAGCATTTCTTGCAAATGTATTTAGGTAATCTTCACCCCCACTCTTCCCTCAAGCTCCTCCCAGATTCGCACCCCACTTCTTACCCCCTCCCAATTTCATGTCCTCTTTTTTCCCTTTTCCTTTTTGAATAACTGCTGAGTCCAGTTTGTGCTGCCAATAAATTGCTCATGGGTATGGGACCATGCACTGTGTGATCAACCTACCACCAGCTGCACTGTGATGACCTGAATGAGAAGTGTTCCCCATAGGTTCACAGTTTTAACACTGGTCCCCAGGCCTGGAGATTGTGGGAGGTGTAGCCTTGCTGGAGGAAGTGCATGACTCAGAAGCAGGCGGTGAGAGTTTACAGCAGTGGTCCTCAGCCTTCCTATTGCTGCGACCCTTTAATACAGTTCCTCATGTTGTGGTGACCCCAACCCATAAAATTATTTCATTGCTACTTCATAACTATAATTTTGCTACTGTTATAAATCATCAGATGTCTAATATGCAGGATCTTTGATGTACAACCCCTGAAGGGGTCACAATCCAGATTGACCACCACTCTCTCTGCTTCCTGCTGCCTTGCCTACCACTTCCTGCTGTGAGTCTCCACCATGATGGGCTCTTGTCCTTCTAGAACCTTAAATCAAAATAAACTCCTCCATACGTTCCCTTGGTCATGGTGTTCTTATCACAGAATCAGAAAAGCAATACACACCCTTAAAGAGAACTAGCTCCTCCTCCCTCAGAAGCCAACAGGTGTCAATAGCTTCTCAGGGGAGGGAACTCCTGAGCCCCTCCCTCCTCCATGCCTGGCTCCTTCCTGTGAAGGCAGTCTCAACTGCTGTGAGTTCACCAGTACAGTGGCACTGTCATATCCAGAAGACACTATCTCACTCTGGTCCTCCCTAACCACTGGTTCTTACAGCCTTTCAACCTCCTCTTCCACCATGGCCCCTGAGTTTGGGGGAAGGGTAATAGACACTGTTTTGTGGCTGATACTTTGCTGCCAGTTTTGAGTTTCTGCATTAACCGCCATCCACTGCACAAGGAAACTCCTCTAATGAAGTCTGAATGCTACAATAACTTATGGATGTAGAGATAGGAATTTAGAAGGCAGCTTGAAGCCGGACGGTGGTGGCACACGCCTTTAATCCCAGCACTCGGGAGGCAGAGGCAGGCGGATCTCTGTGAGTTCGAGGCAGGGCTGGACTGATAGCCTCCAAAACAATACAGAGAAACCCTGTCTCGTAAAAACAAAACAAAACAAAAAAAAAAGAAGAAAAAGAAGGCAGCTTGATACCATGTCTGTTTAGCAAACAATAGGTCCACCCATGGGAACTGGAAACTCTTCAACCATAGGTTCTTGGCCAAGTTTA